TGAACCAGTGATTTTGTAAAATTACAATAGGTGGAATTCCATATTTCTATAATTTTTTCTTTAAGCATCTGCTTTGAAAATATTTGAAATTTATTTAATTTTTTGCCTATTTCAACCCATAAATTTTCGATGGGATTTATATCTGGACTATTAGAATATTTAACATATGGACATACATTGTACATAATCCATTTTTTCACGATTCGCGCTGTGTATTTAGAATCGTTGTCTTATTGAATTGAATCTTTCAACAATTTTAACTTATTTTTGAAATTAACACTATTTTTGAAATTATTCTTTAGAATATCTAGAGATTTGTATTTATCGAGTATTCCGTTAATAAATACTATAATTATTGTTATATATACTAAATTCCCTGTATCATTATTTATCATGCAGCCCCATATTATGACCGAATCACTGTGTTTTACTGTTGGGCATATATTTTGGATATCCAATTCATAATTTTGTCCATTTGAGTTAAAAATATTAAACTTAGATTCATTTTTTCCTAAAAAGCATTATCTTTTATTACAAATACTTTTACAAAAGTCAATCTTTTGATTTTGCTTATTAATGTACGGTTTTTTTCTTGATACTCTACCATGAAAATTATTATTTCATAAAACTTGTAGACATAATTGGGGATGAATATCTTTGTCAAACATTTTCGATATCATATTTGAAAGTGTAGATGCAGATATAATAGAATTTTTTTTTTTTTACTTTGCAAATAATAACTTTTTCCTTTCAATTTTTCTTGGTCGACCTGAATGAGCTTTATTCACATTTGTTTTTTCAGTTTTTCATTTTTTTATGATATAATGTACCGTAGATTTACTTCTGTTTACAATTTTTGCTATCTCACTATATGATTTCCCATTCTTATGCAGTCGAAGGAGAGTTTATCGTTCATACTTTTGTGTTTTAGACTATTTCGGATTCATTTTTAATATATTTTTACCACATACTTTTATGTTAATGGAATGATAGTTTGACATCAACTGAACATAAAAATAATCTCACTTAGTATCAGTATTTATATTTCTGGCTAAAATTTTTAAAAACTATCAAAAACGTATCAGCGTTCGAATACTTTTATAACGTACTAATGGTGCGTGTTTATAATAAATGTATTATAACTATTGTACAAATTGATGAATCATTTTCAAATTTTTCTGACATAATCTTGAAATTTCCTTCCTACTATACACTTCTTATTATCTTAAACAAGTTTCTTTAATACATATATTTCGTTTATCAAAAAATGTAAATGTAAACATTCGAATACTTTCTTTATCTATTGTAATTAATCAACAATCCATTTTTATCTCTTTTCAAAATTTATCCATTAAATATCTATTTAAATGATCTTTGTATATTCTATAACAAGGATTTATAACATATTAATCAATTTTCTTTTTTTTTAAAATTCGTTCATCTTCACAAAATAAATCATTGAACTATCAAACTGATGAATTAAAATTATTTATTAGTTATATTTATATTTATGATTATTTATCAATCGTGAACTTAGTCAGATATAGATCGTATTCAAAAAATAATAATTTAGAATATATTTAAAATTTTCAAATTCTATATCTGATCAGGAAATTTTTGTTGTCTAATTTGTCGTTCAATTTAAAGCGCAAATATCGTTTATAATTTAAATAAATCTAATAGGTTATATGTTAATCGTTTAAATTTTTTTTTATATTTTCCTATTGTAGTACAATATTTAAATATATCATTCATCGCCTAATTTTTCAGTAAACACAAAAATTATCCATTATATATTTATATAAAAAATTATTAAAAAAAGTTTTCAATGAAGTAAAACCATATTTATTGATATTACATTAATATTCGTAATAGAAAAGTTATTAAAAATGAAATATTTATTGATATAATCAAAATTAATTAAAAGAAAATTCCAAAATCTAAAAATCTAAAAAAATTTTTAATAAAAAAAAAAAGATAGTAGTATATAAGTAAAATAATCTTACATTTTTTACATAGAAAGACAAAATATCATTATAATTAACATTTCAGAATCATGCATGAAATTGAGGAATGAAATTTATCACAAGAATATTACGTAATGAAAATATTATTAGATTTATAAGTTTAAAATGATTCTTTTATATATTACAAATATGAACAATGATTATGCGAATCAATATGCTTTTATTAATTTTGCAAAAATGTTTAAAATAATGAAAGAAATTATTAATTTTTACTTATTATATTGATATATAATCAAAGGTAAATTGATATATAATAAAAAAAAACAATAAAAAATATCAAATTTGAAATTTGTCAAGCTTTTGCTCAGTTAAAAAGTAATTTAAAAGAATCATATTATAAGAATCATCTATAAGAAAATATCATATAATTTTCGGACAACAAATTGAATAAATTACTATTAACTCAACTACATTCCTCAATACATTTTTGTTCTTATCATAGATTAGTTTTATAGATTTATTAACATAATCTTTTTATATGTTTAAATTTTTAAACATATGAATGAAATTTTGTAATAGTTTGAAAATTTTGTATAAGTTTAAAAATTAATCATACTCAACATTATTTATTCATTATAAAAAAGATTCTATAAACATTTTTATTCTATTTCTATTCTATTAGGAACATGATTTAAATAACAAACTCATAATCTATGAATACAATGAATAAACTCTAATTTATGAATACAAATGATGTATCAATACTTAATGAATAAATTTTATTATTATCAAATCGTTTTAGAAAAAGAAATTATTTTTCGAATTTTTCGAATTTAAAAAATGCAAAAAAAATATATATAGGAATAAAAATTTATTACATTAATGACACAATATATAATAAAAAAATATAAAATATTAAAATAATTAAAATATTAAATATAAAGAAAGAAATTATTCTTATTATATCGAATTCAAGAAAAAAATGAAAATATATTCATTATATAAACTACATACATTATACAAATACATTAATAATAACATTATAAAAAAGTAAAAAATATACAATAATTTATTAAAAATGCATAAATTTTTTGCAAGAAATAGTTTTGTAAGAAATGTAAGATATATTGCATAAAAAATACTTAAATTTATATTATAATAAAATACATATATACACATATAAATACATATAAATATATAGTATAAACAAATATTATGTAATATATAATAAATATTAAAATATATTTTTCACAAATTCTTATAATCCTTAGACTCTTTTAATCTTACTCTATTATAATAAGAAAATTGAATTTTTATATAGAATATTTTTAAATCTTTAAGTATTTTTATATAAAATTGAGATATACAACAGGATTAATTCGAGAGAAAGAAAATGAGATTAAATAGTTTGCTCAAATAAAAAAGATGCAAGATTCAAATAAATTACTACACAATATACATTTATCAATGATTTACAAAATATGTCGAACTATATGACTGTTTCTCACACATTATCTCATGTTAGACAGAAATAAGATACAAAATTTTTTGTTATAAATAAATTTCTCAATATCCAAAATTCTATAAGCTAAATATCATTATAAAGTAATATATATAAAGTAATATATTTCAATGCTATAATAAGTATTTAATATGAATCGATTCGTTTTTATTCATTTCGTAGAAAAATGCAATTAAGTTATTAATAAATGATGCTCAAAATATCATTACATTACATAAAGAAAATATTATTTTTCAATAAATTTAAATAATTAATATTTAAAAAATTTTAAATTAACATTGAAAATATTTTGTATATTATATTTTGTACATACTTATTAAAGATCTTTTTATTTGTTTTGAAATATATAAAATATATAAAATATTTATTTTTATGAAATAATCATTTTATTCATAAAAGAAATATTTAACAGATATATATAGAGGAAAACTAAAAAATTGGAAAATTTTTCCACTTTTTAAAATTTATATTTTTTCGCTATATGTTTTTTGTAAAAATCTGAAATTTTTATAAAAAATATTGATTCTATTTTCATTATCAAAATTATAAAAATTCATTATTAAAATTATATAATAATAAAGACATACAATATTATTTAATTCTAAATTTTATTTTATTATTTAATTGATTTATTATTTGATTATTTAATTGAATTATTTAATTCAAATTAAAAAATTTGTTTATTGCTAGTATCTAACGATAAAAACAATTGAAATATAATAAATAAAATTTTTTCTAATTGAAACAAATATTTCCTACGTATATATAACTTTTCAATAATTTTGAAAAATAAAAAAATAGCTTGTTAAAAATAAAACTTTTTTTTTTGAAGAAAATCAACTTTAAACTTATAAACTTATAAATTTATAAAAATTCAATGAATTATAATCAAATAGGCAAAATTTTAAAATAAAAGAAAAATTTTTAGAACTGATACATTAATATATCTTTTAAATATTATGATTTCTTAAAATTTCTTTATTTGTTTTATTTTTTATTTTCATTTTACTATTATTTTATAAAATTCTAAAATATATATATTAATATATTTATATTAATAATAATATAAATTTTTAATCAATACTTATATTAGTATTATTTATTTTATATTATCATATTTATTTATTTTATAAAGATACCTAAAAATATATATACATTAATAGTAACATAAATGTTTCAATATTTATATGACTTCAATATTTATTCAATATTTATATTATCAATACCTATACTATAAAATAAACATGAAACCTTAAATTATTTAATTTATATTATTTAAATTAAAATTTATAATTATACATGATATTTAAATATTATAAAATATATATTATATTAAATATTATAAAATATGTTAATATTATAAATTATTTTTATTAATTAATAATAATCTAATTGAGTTTTAAATTTATTTTTATTAATATGATCGTGTTTATATATATATATATATATATGTGTGTGTAAAATATAATATATATGTTAATATATAAAAATATATTATGATAAATACTTACGTGCGCAACTGTGTTCCGGTAGCAAAGTAAGAGCTAACATTCCGTATCTTAACATATTAATAAAACTTGATTCTGGGGAAATTATTGAAGTATTAACAGCAAAAGTATTATTATTTTTGTTCAAACAAGTGCTATTTTCTTCAAAAAGTCCCCCGACTAGACGTTCACTTTCAGCTTTTATATTTTCCAATTGTTGAATAGCTACAGAAGTAACACAAGCCACCTTCTCTTCTAATATATGAAGTTGACTCTCTATGAAATTAGTAAGTTGTTTAATATTGTCCACAGTTACTAGCCAACCTTGTATTAGAACTTGTTGTGCAGGATTTATAAAAAAAGGCGTATGAACTATTATAGTTACATAAATTTCTGGTTGTATTATTCTTTTGCTTCCTGGTATTGTAAACTGTAACAATATTAGATTTAATATTTAAGTAATATGATCTTGATTTTAATTATTTAGATGAAAATAAATAATAATTAATCATATTTTAAAAATAAAACTATATCTAATATAATATAAAAATAATAGATAAATATAAATAGTTATTAAAAATAGTAAGAGAAAATTACAGTACCTCTAGATCTTCTTATTATATAGAATATCTCAAATAATTTTATTATTTGAAATAATTACTAAACAAAATTTTAAAGATATGGAACTTAAATGGTTTTGAAAAATTTTCAAAATATATATTTTTTTTTGTGAATGAAAATGTAAAAAAATTAAAATCATCTTACTTTTTTAAACGAAATGGTCTATTTTTTGTACTATAAATATTGATAGAATATAAAGTTTTAAAAAATGTATTAAACCTAATGATTAATCTAAATCTAATACTTAAATAAAATATTAATGAAATAATTATTAATACATATTTACTATCTAGAAGTTAAAGTAGATGCTTGAATTCTCTTAAATTCAATACAATGCGTTAATATTTATCAACAAAAAAATTTTCGATTTATAATATATTTCGATTGCTTTTGCAATGTTTATAATTCAATTTTAGAACATATCTTTAACATTTGCAACTTTGAGAGAAGAATTTAGAAGACTCTTGAGATTATATATTTTTTAAAAACATTTCGGTATAACTTGAACACGATCTTGAAACGTTAGATAATTTCCAGTTATATATATAATCTCAATAGCAATCAACATCATCCATCAAGAAAATTTACTACAAATTTATTCGTGTATTATAATGGTGGATTAAATGCATATATAAATATGTCGAATGCTCTTTCGAGATGTATGTATGTGTGAAAAAATTTGTAACTATTGATATATCTTCTTCACGATGAGTAAACTGTATTAGTGCGGTTATATATGTGGTACGCGTGTCTAAGAGAACTGAATCTCTCACAATGTATCGGCAGTCAGAATACAATGAGACTCATGTTCTTAGAAAATCCTTTCCTAGTTCAATTGGAAAGATCTCAGTTTCCTGGTGAGACATAATAACCAATAATATTGCGGTTATTGCCTAAATCGTAACAAGAGAAAAATTGAAGAGAATATGTCAGCCAGGTTGAAGTATACCAAAAATATATAATCAAATATACAATTATAAATATCAATTAAACTCTCAAAAACAATAATCTTCCCAGATAACATCATTTTTTATTCATGCTTAAAAGAGATCTGCAAACGATAATAATAGAAAAGAATTTTTATATGAATAAATTTTTCGAATAAGCTGTTTATAAATCGCAATAAGTGTGCGCGAATACACTTGCGGATCAGTTTCCTGGAAACAATGGATTTTCTGATTCTAATTTTCTGATTTAAAATTCGACGAAAAATTAAAACGTTTTAAATTTTTGAATCATTAAATCATTAAAAAAACATTTTAAATTTTTGAATTTTGAATTTGGATAATTCGAACTGTTAAACTATTAAAATATATTTGAATTGACGAACCAATAGAATTCATAGAATCTCATGAATTCATTCAATGACAAATAAACTTTCATATATATTATTTTTGATCGTTTAACTCTAAACTTATCACTACCGAGTAAATTGACTGTTTCAAAATTTTACACATATTTAAACGTTATCATATCTTTATCAAACTTCATGATTTTTCCTAAAATATGCATACAATATATTCTTCAGTATTTAGTTCTAATTTTTTTTTCTTGTTTCTAAAAAATATTTGTAATCTATTCTGCCTATTACAATCGGTCCATTATTCTTTTAAATATATACAATCTGTACAAAGAAAAGGCTATTTTAAGATCGGATGACAATTGAAAGTAGTAAAAATAATAATAAATAATAATAGTAGAGAATATAAACTCAAGAAAAAATCGTATGCAGTTTTTGAAAAAAAAAAAAGTAAAGCAGTAAAACTTTGACATGAATTTTGTATTCCATACATAGTGTGATATTCTGTGGTGAATATAAAAATATCAAAATGTTCAAAAATTATGGAGTTATTAGAAAAAATAACAGATATAGAAAAAGACTGTTCAGTGTGCGATAAACAAGAAATTTCCGTAACTGAAAACAACATGGAAACAGATGAAGAGCTATTTATAACAAGCAAATTAGACAGTGATAATAAAAAGAAGAATATTATAATTAATTATTAAAATTATTATAAATAAGCGTCCACGTCCAGGACAAAAAAGAGATTATTGTTGATATTCGAAAGTGAGATTGATGTAGATCAAATCATATTTCTCTTATAGTGTATAAAAATAAATCAATAAAAAAAATGCTTGTGCTAAATTCCATATATAAATCAATAAAAATCTAAAAAAGTAATAAACGTATACCGGAAATGATTAACTTTTATAATTATACAAAATTCAGTATAGACGCGAATCAGATGGTAAGGAAATACAGTGTGAAATCAAAATCTTGTAGATGGTCCCTTCAAATATTTTTCAACATTTTAGACTGGAATAAATATTGGGTTTTGTATAAAAAAAACGAGTGAAAACATTTTAAGGCAAAAATTTTTATTCCAATTAGCTATAGAGCTCAACGCTGCATATCAAGAATCGCGAAAATGTACTAAACTATCAACAAGTTTCGTACATACGAAAAATTTGTCAAGTAAAATATTGTAAAGATTACAAAACTATGAAAATCTACTCGAGATGCGAAAAATATGTGTGCGATAAATGTACATTTGAAAATAAAATAATTTGTAAAAAAATGCAGCAAAGCTGAATAAGATATATCTCTATAAATAAAAGTTAAATTTTATTTTTTTCAATAAATAATTTTAAATACATACTGTAAAATCTGGTTTATTAATTAAATATATTGAAAACTAATTTTTCAGAAATATGTTATAGGGAAAAAATGAAGTTTTGGTTTTTTTAAGTTTATAATTGAAATTATAGTTATAAGTTTATAAAAATAAATTTGAACGAAATTTTATGAAAATTCTTCATTTTATACATTCAATAATAAATTAACCATTATCTACGTTAAAAACGATAACTTTTTTAAACACCGGTCATTTTGATCGAACGCGATAGGAATAAGTATATCCTATAATAAATTAACTATTATCTACGTTAAAAACGATAATTTTTTTAAACACCGGTCATTTTGATCGAGCGCGATAGGAATAAGTATATCCTATAATAAATTATCTACGTTAAAAATGATAACTTTTTTAAACACCGGTCATTTTGATCGAGCGCGATAGGAATAAATATATACTATAATATAAGAACTATCGGTAGATTTAATGTTAAAATAAAACAATGTTTACTTAGTAATATAGTAGAGTTTATAATAAATTAATTTTATCATTATATACTACTTACTATTATAGCTTCACAAATGGATTAAAGCTAATATTTGAACAAAGAAAATATAACATCATCAAATATTGTAATAAATATATATAAAGACGTGTTTCATACAAACTATATACTAATAACTAATTCTATTTGGCGAATAAAGAAAAATATGCATTTGATTAGTACATTTCGAATAAATCATACAAAGAAACTTAAATAAAGTAATAACTAAATTGAAATGCAGGTTATTGCCAAAGAAAATAGTAATAGAATTATAGTTTTGAAATGAAAAGATAAAAGAGATTTTTTAATCTTTTCTAAAAAGAAAAAATTCTAAATGATAAATATAAAAAGATTTTTGGTTTTGTCACAAATCAAAAATGGTTGTTGAATACAGGAAAAAGTTGTTGATCTTTATGATTAAATAAATGCATATAACAGTTATTGAGAAAAAGTAAAATGGTACACAAAATTAGTGCTTTTTTTAAATGCCGCTTGTGAATGTTTTGTTTATATTCTAAGTTACAACAGGAATGTTATATCTTAAATCGCGACATTTTGCAAACAATTGACAAATGCGCTTAAACGATATTCAGATGAAAAAATTCCAATCTATAGAAAAAATATTCATCGATTTAAAAAAAAAAGAAGAAATGTATGAAGTCTGAAAATATTATTCTGAATGTTATAACACAATAGAGCCAAAAAAACAAATTATCACTTTTTTAATATGTGTAAAACTAAATCATATTTTTACTTAGATTGTTTTAATAAACTCTATTAAATTACAATATTTATTTTTTAACTTTGATACTGTCGGTCCCATGCACCAATGTCCGAAACAAAAAATTGATCAATTCTCAGGAACTAGTGTCACGCTTAACGTGTTAAGATTCTTCTTCAAAAAATAAAATCCATAAAAAGTGATTCGAAAAAATCATTGTTCACGAGCATAGAACAAAAATTGATATCATGTTCAATCATTATTAAATAATATCATTCTATTGGACAATTGTCTATTCAATTGTAATTCAATCATTATATCATTTTGAAACGTAATGCAAATAAATGAACTTAGGGAGCTTATTTTTTTTTTATTTATCTTCGATTCATAGACATATACTAATACATACAAATCGAACTTTTGATGGCAAAATCAAAGATAGTCTTTAAAACAATATACAATTCCACAATTGGAATTATACGGCGCACTTTTGAATTTATTATCTGCAAAAGTCTAGCAATCTCTTCACATCAATATTTTTCGCCGTATTTTCTGAACAGGTTATAATATTGTCCCGCATTGGTTAAATATCTCTCTACATTTTGTAAATAGAGTAATAGAAACATATTGCAGAAGCAACATTGTAATATAACATTATGTGCAATCAATAGACAATCCTGATATTATTTTTCAAAAAATGCCTATTAAAGAAGTTCCTTCAATCATTAATTTGACATCAAAAATTAAATCAACTTAAAAAAATAGAAGATAATATGATCCTTTTAATATGATCCGATTAGTTGAAAAGACAGTTGAAATTCGATCTACACTTCTATTAATAAATTGTCTTCATAATAAATACAATGATACAATAAAAAAAAAAATTTGACCTAAAACTAAATAAATCA